CCATTCTTCCCTTACACACACAGAAACACACAATGCATCAATTACACAAACACATTGCATGCCTTACACACACACACACACACGCACACCTTCTCTTAATGCATCTCTTACACACACTCAATGCACCCCTTATAGGGGCACTCATTGCATTACATTACATACACATAAACACACCTTGTATCCCTTATACATACAAACACAGATTCACACAATGCATCCCTCACACACACACACACACACCCATACACACATAATGCATTCTTCACACACAAACACACACTGCATCCCCTATGCACACCCACTACATCCCTTACACAAACTGGTATCCCTATACATTACATTCCATAAGAACACACACACATTACACATAACACATCCCCAACACACATACACTCCTCTCCCTGTGAGCAAACTCATGGCTTGTAGGCATCAGACTTATGGGCAGGCCTTGTAGGCATACTCATGGTCAGGTCCTAGGGGACCAGACCGTGATCTGTGTAAGGGGCCCCAGAAAATGGAGCTGCTTCCTGTTTGTTGTTTTTGTGAGCACTGCTTCCAGAGAGCCTGTTTTAAAACCAGACTAGTGGAGCCAGACTGCAACCTGAGCCCATCATCATCCTCTTGTCCTCATCTGGTGGTAAGTAGGCAATCCAGTATATTATTAGTGGCACTTAACCCTAATTTACCTCACATTAAAGGGCCACTAGAGTCACCAGAGCCATCTACAGCTTGATGTAGTGGTTCTGGTGTCTATAGCCTGTCCCTGCAGGCTTTTTAATGTAAACTCACTGCCTTGTCAGAAAAAAGACACTGAGTGCAGCACTGGCGTTGGCTCATATGGCAGATCATATGGGTGGGGCATTGTGATGGGGGGGAGGGGGCACATTTTTGTGCCAACCCTGACTAGGATCAATGACAAAATTCTTTCCAATCTCCTATTTCACACTCAAAGTTCTTTCAAGTGCCTCTAAATACTAACTAAACATAGTTTCACACTAGAATCAATGACCCAGGCCAGGAAATAGTAACTTTTTTTCTATTGTGGAACCCAATACATTCCTCAAAAGAAGGATTTTTTTTTCCTCCAAACAGATAACAAAAAAATAAAAGGATAAATAATTTTAAGGTACCTAGCATTGATGACAAAATGATTGCCAATCTCCTACATCATACTCAAAGTTGTTCAAGGGCCTCTGGTAGTAGCTGCAAGCTGCATACTGCAGAAAACTAAACCTAGTGTCCCACTAAAATCAATAACCCAATCCGAAACGAATCTCCAAGTCTACTGAAAAGCCTCATACAACCATTGTGGCTTATGGTTTGTAGCAACCTACGTGTCCATCAATTTATTTTGCCAGGAAGATTACATTTGTCTCCTTTTTTTTCTAGGTCACTTGAAGATTTGATGCTGGACCGGAAATATGCATTCACTGGTGTTTTGTTTTTTATTTTATAATTGTCAATTGAAGGTAAGAGTTTAACTCAAATCGCCATTCTCAATAAAGGTCACTCCTTGGGCAATGCTTGCTTTTGAATTACTATAAGGAGCGTGTCTGCTGTTCCCTGCCTTGTGTAGCCTCGTACACATGACAGCCTTCTTTTTTTTTTTCTCACATGCGACCTATGGGTCATGCCATCATATTTGAATGTGGGTTTTTTTGGCATGCATGGAGGTGATTGCTTAAAAGGCAGAATTAACTAATTACCTAGTTAATAGATTAACCAGATGAGGAATATATTTATATGTATGTGTGATTTAATGATGTTGTGACTTTAAAAAGGCTGTTTATATCCGCAGAAATATCATGTTGTGCTTATTTGAATTAAAAAAATCAGCAGTATGATGAAATCTGGGTTCCTTGTGTCTCTCTGCATTTTTATTCTGGGGTGTGTGTCATGCCCTGAGACTGAATCACCTGTATATTATTTGGATTAATTACCTTACAGGATATGGGCCGTCCACACTGGAAAGATATTTGTATTACTATATAACACATACTAAGAACTCTGTGGAACCTACAAAAATGTACGTAGCAATAATAATTTTTGTAGACTTTCTAGATTTTGAAGGCTATGGTACAGCTTGATTTCCATGCTAAAAATTCCAACATATTATAGTACTTTTACAAGCTAAACATAATATTGACTCTTTCCACCTGGCTACCCTAATCTAGGAAACTAAGACGAGAACACTTAAAGGACCACTCTAGGTACCCAGACCCCTTCAGATTAATGAAGTGGTCTGGGTGCCAGGTCCTTCTAGGGTTAACCCATTTTTTTATAAACATAGAGGAGAGAAGGAGGAGAGCTCCCCGCCCAGCGCTGGAAAAAGGTAAGTTTAAACCCCTTTCCCCCTTCCAGAGCCGGGCGGGAGGGGTCCCTGAGGGTGGGGGCACCCTCAGGGCACTATAGTGCCAGGAAAACGAGTATGTTTTCCTGGCACTATAGTGGTCCTTTAACCAACTGAGGATTCCAATGCAATGGCAATATAATCTATGCTAACTAATTATTCAATTTAGCTAAGCTTGATATTTTTCTCAGTACTATTTTGATCTGAATTGTTGGAATCCCTTTTGCAAAATAATAATAAGGATGAAATTATATTTTGAATAATAATGCTCCTTTCCTGACTGCTTGTAAAAACAGATTTTTTTTAATATGCAGTGTGAGCTTAACATTTTATAATTGCAGAAACAGGTGCTATTTACATTAGTAATTAATATTCATTCAGTCCATGATGAGGAACATGCACAAATTTGCTTTTTAAGGGATTGTAGAAACACATACTGTAATGTAATCTGCTATCTCTGCTCAGTGATTACATAGTAAGTTCCAGTAAAAGATATACACTTGCTATGAAGAAATATGTGTATCTTATATGTCACAGTTGCACAGGTCAATTCTGAAAACAAACCATAGAATTTTAATTCTAAATCATGAACTAACTTACCAAAGGTTTGGGTTGTTAGCCACATCAAGTATCAAATATGATTAATGTTTCTTCAATCGGGTTTACACATTTTATATATTTTACATTTTATAATTGAAATCATATCTTATATAGTATACTGAAGTTTCAGCTAAATCTGAATTAGGTGTCATTCTTTAAATAATATTACAGTTTGCCTTTTCATTGTTAAATGCTGCCCTCTAGAGTATACATCACAAACTGTAGCAATATCAATTCAAAACATTTATGACTTGAAAAATTGTACTAGGAATCTAGAATAAGTAGTGTTGATTTATTGATAGATCTGTAGATTTATTAGAAGATTAGTTGTCGAGTTTCACATTTAACTTGTATCATGTTACTTTTTAAGCAGAAATCCTTTTTCATTCTTTCCATGGTTTACATTCTTTCTTAGAAGCTAAAGGTAATGTGCAATATACCCTCCTCTTCACCTAAAAAATACACATAAATTCAACGAATGAAATACAAACAACACTTTACAATAATTAAACTAACAAAAAATTAAATGGAAAGAAGCAGTATTTTCTAGTACTTTTAAAGTGGATCTGAATGTTACTAGGATTTTATTAACCAGGGTATTCACTAAACACCAGATTTTATCCAAAAGGACAAAATACTCAGAGAAAATGATCGAATTCCAAACACATTGTTAATTCGCAGATTTACTAAAGCCAAATGCAATCAGAATTTGTTTGGGCCAACCAATTCTGTATCATTCCTCAGGAGGCATTCAGAAAATCAGTAATATCCAAACCAATATACAGGTGATACTCGGAAAATTAGAATATCATGCAAAAGTTCATTTATTTCAGTAATGCAACGTAAAAGGGGAAACTAATATATGAGATAGACGCATTACATGCAAAGCAAGATACTTCAAGCCGTGATTTATGTACACTCCTTGTTTTATTGATTGCATGTAATATTCTAATTTACTGAGATTGTGGATTTGGGGTTTTCATGAGCTGTAAGCCATAATCATCGCACTTATGACAAATCACGGCTTGAACTATCTTGCTTTGCATGTAATGTATCACCTCTAAATCACAGAAATCAGACATTTGTCAACAACTGCATAGTGACCAAATATAAACCGAATGTATCCAGCAGGATGCACATTCGCAATTTATCATTCACTTGCTTTTTGCAAATGAATGATAATTTAAAGTACTATTTCCCATTAGCAGTGCTAGCAGCCAGCGAGCAAATAGAAAACATTGGTGGATCAAGGATTAATTATGTGGCACATTTAAAAAAAAATGAGAACTCAGTATAAATAAATGGGCGAAATGGTGTGCTAAGGCAACCTCTCTGTGAGATAACCCACCAGCAGTAATTAAAACTCCAAGATAAACATAGCAATGTCTGAATGACCTTTAAGGCCCATTTTACACAAAAAGGTCCCTTATGATATATAATGAAAAAATATTTTGAAAAGCACAACTTTATTGCAAAACAGAAAAGAAAACCTTCATATCAAATGGGACATAAAAAAAGGAAAAAAACAACAACCTTTAACAGCCAAAATGGTTAGAAAGCTAGCAGGGGGGGGAAGGAGTAAATCTAATCCATACCTCAATACTCCTCATATAACTACCATATATGCCAAGAAAGAAAAACTACACTGAGAAATAAATTCAAATAGATCAATCCCAGCAGCACACTTGTAATTTTATTAATGACACGGAGGCTCATATTATGCTTTCTCTTTCTTTTATTATTCTCCTCAGCAGCAAGAATTTAACTTGAAAGAGAATAAAAAAACGAAATAACATAAGTAATCTGCCTAGTAACAGGGCAGCCAATCATATACACTTTTCAACATTAAGTGTCTTGAACAGTCTTCTAACTTCCTCTTTCTTGCTGCTCCTCAGATCAGATAAGTGACTTTTTTCTGTACTCTTCACTTTTTCATTACACACATAATTTTTTGTTTATATCACTTTAAATGTTTTTTGTGTTAAATGTTTCATGTTTGTTCATTTTACATGTTGTCCCTGTTTCAGGGGTCAGTATTGCAGTGCTTACACTGCTGTGCTTAGCTGCAGACATTTTCCCTCTCTCCCTGGCTTTCACTACCTGCCAGGGCTGAGAGGTGTCTGACAGGCTGTGAGACCGCACCGCCCGCACGGCTACGGTCTCACTAGTGCCCTCCCTCCGTTCTGTGTAATTGCCGGCACCCGCTTAGAAATCCCAGCGGGTGCCGAGCAGCTCTGTCTCCCTCTTTCCCCGCCAGGTTTACTTCCGCCCGGCGGTCTGGGGCCGCGGGGAGTTCTCTCCTCGCGGCCATTACTGGGGGGGGGTGGAGCAAGTTCGCCTTCGGCGCGCTTCTCTTCTCTGAAGCGCGGGAAGGCTGGACGGCTCCTAGTTGCTCCTGCTGTCCTTCGGGGGGGCAGGTTGTATGTTTATATTTCCCATATTTTGCTTCTAAGGGTTAATCAACCCTTTCTCACTATTCTTCTTCTAGCCTTGCTGTTCTCTTTACTGGTTTTGTTCCCCTGTACAAAGTTTTTTCTGCACTTTAGTCTGTAACTGACTGTGTGCTGGGGGGTTTGTTTCTGGGTTGATTTAAAGGCATATCTCCCAATTAATAAAAAATAAAAAGGGATTTTTTACTGAGAGTTACTCAAAAAAAAAACAAAAAATAAAAAAAAATAAAACAAACCCTGTGTGATTTATCCAGACCTGTTGCTCCCTGCCTAGCACACCTATCCAGTCATTCCCATTGGTGGCATTCCGTTATCAGTGACTTGGATAATAAAATGCAAAATCACGGGGATGGACATGGGGGCCCTGGATGCCCTAATATAGAGAATACCTTACCCACCCCTGGCCTAGACCCGGGTCATTTACCCTCTCAGGAATTCCAGTCTCTCCTGGAATCAACTATGGCCGGTTCGGTCCAGCGAGCCTTGGCTTCAGCCATGGGCTCTGTGTCCACCTCCCTATCCCATTCCCTGGCCCAGGCACTCATGTTGCCCCCTGAAGTGCAACCTACTATAACGGCCCAAACTGAGGTACCAGTCCCTGCGGCCCGTAAGGCAAAAGCCAAAACTAAGCATACATCAACGCTCCCACTGATGCAGGTCTCCCCTGCCATGACTGACCCGCCTATGGCGGTCCTAGATGGCGTGTTGCCACGCACAAGAGCCACTGGTCGGGCGCAAGTGGCCAGAAATTGGAAACGGGCACGTGCCCAATACGAAGAGTCAGATTCTGACAATAGTGAGGAGATGGGGTCAGATGGAACCGACGGGCCAACACAGCCATCTCGGCGGAACGCCGTAAATCAATTTTACTTAAGATTGAACCTAAGTTGATTAACTTAGCAAATAGAGAACCTGGACCCACAGCCCAGGGAATGTTATTTGGAGAGTCCTTTGTCAAGGACATCGGGGCTTTTGTCAAAACTTTTACCACTTTAGATAAGGCTCAGGCCAACCTTAAGAGAGTGTTTAACCCCAAGGTTTTGCACGGGCCGGGAGATCTAGGAGCCGTCCACCCGGCCGAGTCTATCGGGGCCCCTCCAGGGTCCATAGAGGCTCCTTCGGAACGCCCCGCCCATACCAGGAGTTCCGGCCGTCGCCCTTCTTTCCGTCCAGGGGACGCCCATGGCCTTCTAGGGGAAGCCGCATGCAATCTACTTACAGGCGACCTTACGGTAAGTGCAATGTCTCTCATTCCTCCACATCTACACATAGGGGGCAGGCTCGCGCTGTTTGCGCATGCATGGGACGAGCTCACAAAAGACGCTTGGGTGTTACAGACTGTCAGAGGTTTCTATCTCGACCTTATATCTACCCCATTCCAAATCCATGTCCCAAGAGAACTGACACTGGCCCCAGACCAAACCAAACTCATAACAAAGGAGATTACAGATCTCCATACCAAACGGGCAATCCAAGAGGTCCCATACGATACACCAGGTTTTACCAGCAACCTATTTTTGGTAGCCAAAAAAGGCGGAGGTATGCGGCCAGTCATAAACTTAAAGGAACTCAATGCGTTCCTCGCATACCAACACTTCAAAATGGAAGGCATTCATTGCCTCAGGGATTTACTACAACAGGGAGATTGGATGGTCAAATTTGACCTCAAGGACGCGTACCTCACCGTCCCTATTGCGGAGGCACACTGGGACCTCTTGCATTTCACATGGCAAGGGCGACGCTGGAGATTTACATGTCTGCCCTTCGGTCTGTCGTCAGCGCCCTGGTGCTTCACGAAACTCATGAAGCCTGTGGTAGCCTTTCTCAGAGCACGAGGAGTTCGTCTGATCATATATCTGGACGATATTTTAATCATGGCATCCTCACAAGACCAAGTACTGCTCCACCTACAGTGGACCATCACGTTACTCGAGACTCTGGGTTTTTTGATAAATTGGGAAAAATCCATAACCAATCCAGTCCAAAAGATAGAGTTCCTAGGATTCCAGATCGACGCAATCTCACAATTCCTACTCCTTCCGGAAACAAAATTGAAGGCCATCAAAAAAGAGATCAGGCGCACATTACGAGCTCAATCTCTCTCTCTTTGACAACTAGCTCGAGTATTAGGACTACTGGCTTCCTCGATACAAGCCATCTTCCCAGGGCCTCTACACTATCGTGCCCTACAACGGCTAAAAGGTTCTCACCTCAGGTCCGGCCGTTCATACGAATCCGCACTAGTACTGGATGTAGAATCACGGGAGGAGCTGAGGTGGTGGCTAGACCATATGGAGGCGTGGAACGGCCGAGCAATATTCGGAACCAGCCCGGACCTGATTATAGAATCGGATGCAAGCCTCCATGGCTGGGGCGCGCGTTGTGGCAACATCTCCACCGGTGGCAGATGGTCCATGGAGGAATCCACAATGCACATAAATTGCCTGGAACTTCTGGCAGGATCGTTCGCCATCCGCAGTCTCTCCCCTACGGTAGGGAGATGTTGTATACTGCTCCGTATGGACAACATCTCGGCAGTCCGTTGTATCAATCATCTAGGAGGCACCAAATCCAAACGACTAGCAAACCTAGCGAAAGAATTTTGGCAGTTTTGACTTCAGAATGAGATTGCGGTGACAGCGGAACACATTCCGGGCTTGGACAACGTACAAGCGGACTGGAATTCCAGATATCTGCGAGATCCGGGAGACTGGCGTCTTCTCCGCTCTACCTTTTGCCAAATAGACGAATTGTGGGGACCACTGGACGTAGACCTTTTTGCATCCAGACTGAACAGTCATCTGCCTCGATACTTCAGTTGGCGACCAGATCCAACAGCCTCGGGGACGGATGCTTTCCTGCAGACGTGGCCGAAGTCTCGGCATTACGCATTTCCCCCTTTCAATCTCATTTCCAGGACACTATCATACCTATGCACACAGGACTGTTCACTAGTGATAGTGGTTCCACTATGGCACGCTCAGCCGTGGTTTCCTCGTCTACTAGAAATGGCAATCGACTCTCCACGAGTAATACCATCAAAACCAGACTTGCTATTGGACCCAGAAGGGAATCCGCACAACCTAATCAATCAGGGCCTGCTGCAACTCACGGTCTGGTTGATTTCCGGAGTCCCTGGACATTCACAGACATTCCACAGACAGTTACAAGACTCATGGACAACTCCTGGGCTCCAGGGACCAGAGCGGCCTATAACTCTGCTTGGCGAGTGTGGGCTAGCTGGTGCATGGAACGGTCAGTGGATCCGGTTTCAGCACCTCTGAAAGAAGCACTAGAGTTTTTGACATCCCTTTTCGAAGAAGGAAGAGCGTATCGTACCATTAACGTGTACAGGTCGGCGATCTCGGCAGGACACCGAAACCTGGAGGGCTCCCCGATCGGTCAGCATCCTTTCGTTTGTTGACTCCTGAAGGGGATACGCTTTGAGAAACCTCCACAGACCCGCTATTCGTCATTCTGGGATGTCAACATTGTCTTACACTTCTTGGAAGAATGGAGGCCAAATGAGGAACTCTCCCTTAAACACCTGTCTTGGAAACTGTTGACTCTGTTATGCTTACTGTCCTGCAAGAGGATATCGGACGTACGTGCCTTGGACTGGGACGTATTATCATTCACCACAGAGGGCGTATCATTCTCCATATCGAGACGAACTAAAGGCAATACAAAATCTATCTCTTACCCGAGATACCCGGGACATCCTTCACTATGTCCGGTCAGATGCCTTCGGTCCTACCTGGATTGTACTCAGAGGTTACGCTCACCTGCATCAAGTCAATTATTTATATCCTTTCGAACTCCTTTTCTACCAGTGTCCACGCCCACGTTAGCTCGTTGGGTCAAGAACCTGTTAGCATTAACAGGAATTGACACTTCGAAATTCTCTGCACACTCGGTGAGAGGCGCGATGGCATCCAAGGCGTCAACGATTGGTTGTCGCCTCGAGGACATATTAAAGGCCGCTGATTGGTCACAAGTATCGACGTTCAGAGAATTCTATTTTCGGCCAATTGAACATATCTCTCTTCAGGTAGTGGCCAGGCTTTGAACTAGCATAATATGAGCCTCCGTGTCATTAATAAAATTCCAAGATTTTACTAGTAACATGACGTAAAGTCATGATTTTATTAATGACACGGAGGCGAGTATTATCCCCACCCACCCACCCGGTGGGCGTGAGACAGTCTATAAGGAGAGTCTTAAGACTCTCGCAAAGGTAAGTAACAAGGAATTTCAAGGGCATGTACACCATCCTTTTTATGTACACACATAACTTGTTTTATCAGTTTGTTATATCAATTGTAAGGAACATAAGGAATAAGGATAACATACAGTTCCAAAGTTTGGATTTTACCGTACATTCTCTTTGTTTCCACAGCATAACGTACTGGACACGGACTGGGTGGAATACCGGAAGTTATGGAAAGTTACGACGGCTCTTCGTCGACACAGACAAGAAAGAGGAAGTTAGAAGACTGTTCAAGACACTTAATGTTGATAAGTGTATATGATTGGCTGCCCTGTTACTAGGCAGATTACTTATGTTATTTCGTTTTTTTATTCTCTTTCAAGTTAAATTCTTGCTGCTGAGGAGAATAATAAAAAAAAGAGAAAGCATAATACTCGCCTCCGTGTCATTAATAAAATCATGACTTTACGTCATGTTACTAGTAAAATCTTGGAATTGTAGACTAAAGTAGCAGAATGTAACAGTTGTGTGAGAGGAACTAAGTAGAGATTAAGCTATATTAAAAAAAGCTGTATTAGAAAAGCTATATTGAAAAAAGCCTTACTGTCCAGAGTCTATTCTGTTTTGAAATAAAGTTGTGCGTTTCAAAATATTTTTCCATTATATATCACGAGACCTTTTTGTGTCTAATGGGCCTTAGAACTCATTCCGACATTAAAAAAAAGTTTTAAAAAGTAATAAATAAAAATGATATATAATGGAAGTATTTTACCTTCAAATGCCCCACCTGCCATGTGCCATGTGGGGACATATCTACTAAAGGTTTAAACTGAGCGACTTGACAGCCTTATCTGCCCAGTCACAAGAAAGGGCTCCATTCTATGTAGATATGGCCTTTGAGATAATGTGGAAGAGATGGGGAGGGGGAGGAGCATAGTCCCACCTATATTTCCACCCATAGGTAGGGACTAGTGTCATGTGGGAGGACCTAGTGTCCCCTCAGCCCCCTAACCTTTAGTAGCAGGTGGGTAAATGTCCCCTACCCTTGGGCACTCATTTTAATAATCAAGGGGGAGGCGTAGTGCCCACCTCTCTTTCCCCTTAATTAGAAAATGGGTGAGGTCCCCATTTAGTTATAAAATAGGGAGAATGGTCCACCCCCTACAAAAAATGCCATGGTCTGCCTGTCTCTGTGGGTGGCTATGGGTGGCCAGTCCCTTAGCCACCTCCCATTTAACAATTCAACATTCCCTACCTATCACATCTCACCCTAATATTAGTGAAGAGGGGTACAATAAATCAAAAAACCTCTTTTAATATATATATATATATATATATATATATATATCTTGTGACTTATCTTGAGACTTGGTTGTGAGAGCACTGTGGTTGGTTAGTTTACTAGCCAACCAATCAGAGTACTCTTGGTCATTTTGCAGAGTGTGGGGAAATTGTCCTATACTGTGCAATAGCTGACCCCAACAACATACACAATCCCACACACAGAACTAGAAACATCTTCCCTGCACAACACTACAAGTAACCCCTTCATAACATGCATACAACTATCTCACAATACTACAAGCATCCCCATATACAACTACAAGCTGCATTCTATACACAAACTCCTCACACAACACTATAATCAACCTCCTCCAGTAGACAAGTCACCTGACACAACCTCCCTACACAACCTCAAACAGTAAAAGTTTAAGGCTGGATACTCTTTAGGGTCCCAGAGACCCCCAAACCGCCAGGAACTTATCAACAGGTTTCTGCCTTTCTCTTATTTCTCTGCAGTGCTGAGAAGAGGCCGTGTTTAAATAACACACACAGGAAAACACAGTGTATTTCAAACAAGTCTCTCATTTTAATACTCACAGAAGAGAGAATACATAGTCATATTGGTCATGAGTGGTACGCAATATTTAGCCATTCACAGTTGGCAAAGTGTACTTTGTAAACCAAGCATTTCTAACATTTCATACAAGTCTGTATGTAAGGAGCAGATAAGCAAATCTGCTTATCAAGGGAGAAGCCCCTGATGCAAGCATTTTTAAATATTTTACTGAGAAAGCTCAAAAGTCTGTAAACAACATATAATTTGATATATGAGGCCTAAGCATTAAAACTGGTTCTTTCAACAAGCAACCCCTAAATACAGCTACAAGCGGTCCCCCTTGAAAACACACACCGCTCCCTCATAACACTAGAAAAATCCCCTATAAAACAATGAAAGTAGCTCCCTGACAACATAGAAACATAGAATGTGACGGCAGATAAGAACCATTCGGCCCATCTAGTCTGCCCAATTTTCTAAATACTTTCATTAGTCCCTGGCCTTATCTTATAGTTAGGATAGCCTTATGCCTATCCCACGCATGCTTAAACTCCTTTACTGTGTTAACCTCTACCACTTCAGCTGGAAGGCTCTTCCATGCATCCACTACCTTCTCAGTAAAGTAATACTTCCTAATATTATTTTTAAAGCTTTGCCCCTCTAATCTAAGACTATGTCCACATGTTGTGGTAATGTTTCTTCTTTTAAATATGGTCTCCTCCTTTACTGCGTTGATCCCCTTTATGTATTTAAATGTTTCTGTCACATCCCCCCTGTCTTGTCTTTCCTCCAAGTTATACATGTTAAGATCCTTTAACCTTTCCTGGTAAGTTTTATCTTGCAATCCATGAACCAGTTTAGTAGCCCTTCTCTGAACTCTCTCGAAAGTATCAATATCCTTCTGAAGATACGGTCTCCAGTACTGTGTACAATATTCCAAGTGAGGTCTCACCAATGTTCTGTACAATGGCATGAGCACTTCCCTCTTTCTACTGCTAATACCTCTCCCTATACAACCAAGCATTGAATATACTCCATTGACTACAGCCCTCTGTTGCCTGTCACTCAGCCACTGCCTTACCCATTCAACAATATTGGAATCCAAACTTAAAGATTGCAATTCATTGATAAGCCTTCTATGTGTAACAGTGTCAAAAGCCTTACTGAAATCTAGGTAAGCAATATCTACTGCACCACCCTGATCTATAATTTTAGTTACCCAATCAAAAAAATCAATACGATTAGTTTGGCATGATCAGCTTCCTCATACAATATTACAAACAAGTCCCACACTGCACACTAAGCTTCCCTGAAGTGCTACAACGTGTTCACTCACACAATTCACATGGCCCCACACAACACTATAAACAATAAAAAGCAACAAACACTACCTACCCACAAATATCACAAAGCCCCCCTACACATACAACACACACAGTATCTTCAAACATACAACATACACAATTTCCCCACAAAACACATAAAACATCCTTGTACACATAACACAGAGACACAACCCATGCAGATTCCTTATACACAAATACATACACATAATACACATACATACAAACCTCTCCACACAACCTCACACAAAACACTACAAAATACATATAGAACACACAACCTCATACAACACATATGTAATGTTGTGTATGGAGTTTATATGCGTTGTGTGTAAAACAGTTGTATGTGTTGATGCATGGATGCGTTGTGTGTGTGTTGTGTGTTTAAAGATACTTTGTGTGTAATGTATAAGGAGATGGTGCATGTTGTGTGATTAGCCACAACAGTAAAACCACAGACAGGTGAAGTGAATAGCATTGAGTATATTGTTACATTGTCAATGGGTGGGATATGTTAGGCAACATCTGTCAGTTCTGAGCTGTCAGTTCTTGAATTTCATGTGTTGGAATCAAGAAAAATGGGACTTTGACAAGGGCCAACTAGTGATGGCTAGACAAAGGGGTCAAAGCATCTCCAAAATGGCAAGTGTTGTAGGGTGTTCTCAATATGCAGTGGTTAGTACCTACAAAAAGTGGTACAACAAAAGACAATGTGTGAACGGGAAGGTTCTGAGCGCCATAGTCTTGTTAATGCATGTGGGGAGAGAAGGCTAGCCCCTCTGGTCTGACTACGCATGAGAGCTACTGTAGCTCAACTTGCTGAAAAACATAATGCTGGCCATGACAGAAAAGTGTCAGAACACACAGTGCATCACAGTTTGCTGCATATGAAACTGCAGAACCGCTGAGCAGTCAGAGTGCCCATGATGAGCCCCGCCACTGAGAAAATCTCCTTCTATGGTGCTTCAATGGATAAGAGCATCATGACTGAACCATGAAGCACTGAAAGAAGGTTGCCTGATCTGATGAATCACAGCATGATTTAGATCAGGTGAATGACCGGTACGTGAGCATCATTTACCTGCGGAAGAGATGGCAACTGGATGCACTATGGGAAGAAGACTGTCCAGTGGAGGCAGTGTTATGTTCTGGGCAATGTTTTGTTTGGAAACCTTGGTTCCTGGCATTCATGTGGATGTTACTTTGGCACATATCACCCACCTAGAGATTGTTGCAGACCACCTACACCGCTTCATGGCAATGGTGTTTTGTGATGCCAGTGGCATATTTCAGCAGGATAATGCACCCTGCCACACTGCAAACATTGTTCAGGAATAGTTTAAGGTACATGACAAAGAGTTCAAGATGGTGCATTGGCCTCCAAATTCCCCACATCTCATTCCAATAAAGCATGAGCATATGAATTGATATCTGGGCTGAAACAACAACTCAGATCCATGAAGGCCCCACCTCACAACTTGCAGAACTTCTGTTAAGGTATTGGTGCTTTTTTGGCAGTATACATTCAGAGGTCTTGTCAAATCCATGCCGTGATGCATCCATGCTGTTTTGGCAGCACGAGAGGGATCTAAACAATATCAGGCAGGTGGTTTTAATGTTGGGCTGATCAGCATAGCTAATAGACTCAGATAGACACAAAATACAAAGAACAAGCATAAGCCTTATTTTTCTGTCTCTCTAGCTCCTTGCTTTTTTATTCATACAACTGCTATACTACCTGAACTGATGCAATTAAGGGTTATGATATTATCTGAAGTAGAGAAGCAATTTAGAAGTAAATATAAAAAAACACATATCTTGTGTTCAGCCCATCTGAAGTTTGCCAATGAACATTTGAATGATTCAGAGGAGAACTGGGTGAAAGTGTTGTGGTCAGATGAGACCAAAATAAAGCACTTTGGCATCAACTCAACTCACCATGTTTGGAGGAGGAGGAATGCTGCATTTGACCTCAAGAACACCATCCCCACCATCAAACTTGGAGGTGGAAACATTATGCATTGGGGGTGTTTTACTGCTAAGGGGACAGGACAACTGCATCACATCAAATGGACGATGGATGGGTCCATGTACCATCAAATCTTGGGTGGGAC